TTATTAATTTATTTATTTTTGCTGTGTTGGGTCTTCGTTTCTGTGCGAGGGCTTTTTCTAGTTGTGGCAAGCGGGGGCCACTCTTCATCGCGGTGCGCGGGCCTCTCACTATAGCGGCCCCTCCTGTTGTGGAGCACAGGCTCCAGACGCGCAGGCTCAGCAGTTGTGGCTCACAGGCCTAGCCGCTCCACGGCATGCGGGATCCTTCCAGACCAGGGCTCGAACCAGTGTCCCCTGCATTAGCAGGCAGACTCCCAACCACTGCGCCACCAGGGAAGCCCTAATTCTATGGTTTAAAGTCACCTTTCCCCAGTGCCCCACTACCAAGACTCCTGGATTTAGTTTCACTGACTCAGTAAGTTTAGAGACCAAGGTCTACTCTATTAAATCCAAGCTCCCCATGTGATTCTGAGATAGGGGCCCCTGAGACCCTTTCATGAGAAGTCTGGAGAGTGTTAAGACTTCCCTGGTGGTGCAGTGGTTAAGAAGCTGCCTGCCAGTGCAGGGGATACGGGTTGGAGCCCTGTTCTGGGAAGATCCCACATGCCTCAGAGCAACTAAGCCCGGGCGCCGCAACTACTGAGCCTGTGCTCTACAGCCCGCAAGCCACAACTACTGAGCCCACGTGCCACAACTACCGAGCCCGTGCGCCTAGAGCCCACGCTCCACAACAAGAGAGGCCACCGCAACGAGAAGACGGCGTGCCGCAACAAAGAGTAGCCCCCACTCGCTGCAACTAGAGAAAAGCCCGTGTGCAGCAACAAAGACCCAATGCAGCCAAAAGTAAATAAATACATTTATTAAAAAAAAAAAAGACGTAATAGCAAAACTATCTTTACTTTAGGGATTTCAATAGTAAAGACCTTCTTAATAGCTATGAGAGTTAATAACTCACTGTCGTTACTCAAATGCAGCCTTGTTTACATCAAGTTTTGCTCCAGGATGCTAGCTTTTCTTTCATCTCCCAGCTTTCCTTAACACAGCACTTCCTACCCACTCTTACAGTCTTTATCACCTCTATCACCCGCAGCTATTAATCCTGAAGGAACACATACTCTGCAACTGTGTTGCTTAAACAGCATGTTTTTTCTTTACACTGTTATCACACTAGAAAATAGCAGTCAGCCCAAGATAAATCGAGTTCTTAATCACTCAGTTGCTTTACAGACAATCTATATGTTAGAAATCACTTTCAGGGAGAGACACCAGTAAACCCAAACTGCCTTTCAATGTTTTAGTATATATATTAATTTCATAGGTTTTCTGCTGTCTCTTCTTTTTTCCCTGTGTTTCCTTACCTTGACAACTCTCTTTGCACTTGGTAAAGGATAATTTTCAAAAAAATGACATCACGACTCTCACACAGATAGAAAAATAAAAGCTAAAAATCACGTTTTGAAGATCTCGTTTAATGTTTAACCTTATTCCTGAGGAAACTGGTAAGATGTTACAGTCAGTTCAAAGAGGATCCAAAGAACAGATATATCCATACATCAGTAATGCTGAAGTGACTGGGCCAAGGGAGGCAAAACTGGCTTCTTCCCTAGTGGAGGAGCCCATCGACCTCTACCAGGTTGAATTTGCTGGTCTGTAGACAGAATTACTTGTAAGGAAACAATGCCTTGCTTGCTAAGCAAAACAAATAGCAAAAAAACTGGAAGTCTGTGTTAAAGGATAATTTAATGTAAATACGTCTTAGAGATAGTGGATTTCCCTGGAGGGATTTGAAGCTTATCTCCCCCAGAGGTATTTACCTACATTGTAAAACCTAAGAACTTGACCGCCCTCTCCTCAGAGATTTGTTGCATTGCAGAGTTCCTCTCTCACTCTTTGTCGGGGTGGAGACGTGCCAGCCATCCTCTATAAGCTCCAAGTCTTGTAATTTGGGGGTCCCTCTCTCGTGGTACAACTCCAGTAGGCTGAGGTGCATCTGGCACTCACTGCATCTAGAGAGAGTGAGAGAGTTAAAGATAGATAGATACAATGTGTGTAGAAGGCAAGATAACTTGTTAGCTTGCAAGTGGGATGTCTCATACCCTTCACAGTTTCAGCCTTATCATTATTTTGCAGTTGCATCAGATGTCTCCTGTTTACAAAGTTCTAAAATAGTTAAGAGGCAATGAAAATCTCAGAGCCACCACAGAATCACAACCAGATAACCTGGAAGGCTGTGCTCTAGTCTGGACAACACTTTGTTTTTTATTCATTCACATGTTTATTCCTTCAGTGACTAATGTCTTTTTCAGCACTTGCCAAGCCCACGTGCTGGAGACACTATAGTTAGCAAATCAGAACCTATCAGTCTTCTAATAGTGGAAAAACAGATAGATTAAATCACAAAATACTGAATTACGCATTGTGAAGGCTACGTTTTTTGTAGTTGTGATTTCTAAATAGGTATTTGTAGAAATATCAGATATCACGTCCGAAAGAACAGTGTAATAGTTTGCAGACGTTCCTCTATTAGTAAAGCACATGCGACTTGGAGCATGGATGCTGGGCTCTCGTTTCCATTGCTCAGAATCCATTGTGATGCTTTCATTGTCTCTGCTTTGCCCTGGACATCTTGATTATCTGATAAGCACCGCCTCCTCCTTTGTAGCACTTTATACTAGAAAATGAAATCACTTACAGAAACTATCATATGGAAATTTTAGAATTTCAAAAGGAAACATTTCTCTGAGCAGCCCTTTAACAGCTGTCATGCACCTATGGCCTTGGATTTCTTACAATACCTTAAGAGACCTTACAAGAACACAGTGTGTTCTTCATGACCCAGTGGATGCTAAGCGATAGGGAAGTCCCTCTCAGGGTGACCCAAAAAGCAAAGAGACAAAGGTTTCAAGGAGGTTTATTGTCCTGCTGTTTCAGCAGCTACTCAGCCAGAGATGAGCTGCTTCATGCACGCCATTGATTCCCCACAAGAAAAGATGAATCATTCTGCTGAATAATAAAAGCAGAGTCCAACAGAGGCTAGGCTAACAGATTTGCCTGGTTAATAATCTTAAATTTCTAATAGTCAAGATTGTGTGGCTAAAATGATAGAATTTCAGACTTAATATATTGCCCCCTATATTCTGCCCTTTTTTTTTTTTTTTCCAAATTTGGAAATGGAGGCTGAGATTTCGCCTGACTTTCTTAAGGGCACAGACACATGGCAGATCTGCAGCTCAGGTCTCCTGGTGATCTCTCCACTGTACTACTGTCTGGTCATCCATAATTAATTTCATGAGCTTATATATCATGTCCTCTTTAAGGAAAATAATTTACTGTTAAAGCGCTTTGGTGAGCTGAAATGCAAGGTGGAAATAAAAGTAACAGCTATTGTTTCAGAGGAAAATAATGATCCACGTGTGGAGGGGAGTAAGGCTGTCAAATTTGCCTCCCGTCTCATTTATTTAACAGGCCTCTCTACTCAAAATTCTGATGACCAGGAGACGGGTGGGACTGAAATTTCTTGTTTTGATTGTGTTGATCCATGTGAGTGTATTAGCTAAAAAGAGGCTGGCGGGGATTTGTACCTACTCTTTTCCTCCAATTTGGAATATTCTTCTTAATACAGAAGAGTTATGTGATTTAACAGCACATTAATAGCAGAGTTTTGACAACTTCCACTCTGTTTCTCACCTATTAAATCGGAGGCCTTTTGATTAATGTGTTCTTGGGTCTGCGTATATCACAGTAAATATAATAAATTTATTGCTGGGAAAGTTGAAGGATACATACAATATGCCATCTTCTGTTACAAACCTTGTCGGATTTTTGTTTCATCTAAATAGTTTTGGTAATCAGTGTGATTGAAATGTTTACAGACATTCAGGTGCTAATAGTGGTAGCTCTAGCACCTACTCAAAGATACATTATTTCTTGTGTTAGTTGAGCTGCTGATGCTGTACTGCATGTTCAAAAAAGTAACTTCTGGGGCTTCCCTGGTGGCGCAGTGGTTGAGAGTCTGCCTGCCGATGCAGGGGACACGGGTTCGTGCCCCGGTCCGGGAAGATCCCACATGCCGCGGAGCGGCTGGGCCCGTGAGCCATGGCCGCTGAGCCTGCGCGTCCGGAGCCTGTGCTCCGCAACAGGAGAGGCCACATCAGTGAGAGGCCCGCGTACCACCAAAAAAAAAAAAAAAAGTAACTTCCTATTTGCATTGCGTAACTATGCACATCACATGATACCAAGATGAATATTTCGGATTTTATTTTAAAAGAAATAGATGTATTTCTGGTGTAATTTCCTAACATCTGTGTCCGATGAATATATATTGATGTGTGTGTTTGTGTGTGTATCATAATCATATTATATATAGTTTTGTATCCTGCATTCCCCACTTAAATATTTTGTACATTTTCCCATGTTATGAAAAAATCCTCTATCCAAAACTTGGTGTAAAACAGAAATAGATGTACACTCATAATTAAAAATTGTCTGAAGGGAGGTATATATACAGGCCATAAAAGTTTGACTTTCTTTCTGCTGGCAGCATACAATAAGACTAGAAAAGTCATTGTTTACGTTATGTCATTTAAAATATTTTACAAATTCAAAGATACATTTTTTTTCATATTGTAACATCTCTGAATTCAGGGTGCGATAACAACGTTTTACAGTTATAATAGCATCATTTTTTTCTTTCTTGAAGAAAAATAATGACGCATCTTCTAAAAGCAGAATGTCAGATTTGATGAAATGCACCACAAATTTTAATAATCAGTTTTCTTAACATTTTTCACCATGAATATTTTCTGGCTGAATTAATATGAAAAAGTAGAATAAAAACGCTGCAAATGCGTGGCAATCGTATAAATTTCAGGGAAAAAAGTCACTTTACTATAATTTAAAAGTTTTAAGAATCCATTTGTGTTGATTCTACCTCTCAGAGAGGTTTGATGACTAGAAAACTTTGACTCAGATAAAAGGTGATTTTGATTTTCTTTATTTATTTTAACTTTTGCAGACTAGTGATGGTCTCCTCTCTTTCTTCCCCCATTTCTGCATACAAGAAACTGCGTGGGCCATCATCCAGCACAATGGCTCCGATGTAACAAGAGTCCGCAGTACCAATCCAGAGAACCCCTATGCTGGATTTTTCGACTACGTGGCCAGCATGGAGCAACTGCAGGCCACAGTTAACCGTGCGGAGCACTGTGAACAGGAGCTGACCTACTACTGCAAGAAGTCACGACTTGTAAATAAGGAAGGTAAGTACATCGGGGCGTTTGTCCCCCTACACACGTCGCACAGGGTGTTTTACTTAACCAGCTCCTGCGGAGTTTAAGTCGGCCAAGGTGGAGGCCTAGAGCCACCCAGTGTGTGTGCTCCCTGTGTCTTTAGCAAACGTGTCGCAGTCTGGAAGTCACAGAGATGCTGTTGTCTGAAGAAGAGAACAAGGTCAGTTCACGCTGAGCTTTGTTCAAAGCCTTGATTGTCTTTAGAGTCTCTGCCTGCCCTTAATCAGAGAACTGCACAGAGAAGGGCTTTGTTCTGACACTCGATGAATGCGCGGTGTTGATCCCTCCTAAAGGGCAAGTGACACATATGGTTGGTTTTTACCATGGAAAAGAGTTAATAAAAATATGAATTCGTTTTCTGAAAGTGACTATTCTGTGTGACTGTTTCACGGGTTGTTGACAGTTACCCTCTGGGTATAACTGAAAATTAGAACAGTCTGCTAGAAACAGGTTTTTTTTTTTTCAGCAGCTCAAAGAGGAATCAGAAAACCATGTTTAACTCTTTCTTTTACTCTACTTTTAATAACCAGTCTGCTCCTAAATTATGGTTCTGGTCTTGTGTTTTCTCCCTTTAGAGCATCTCATTATGTGACAATATCTTGAGTCCCACCAGCTCTGCCTTAGCGCGGGCTTTAATGACCTAATTTATGAAGTTACTGCAAGATCTTTCCTACTGGCCTCTCAGCCGGTCATCAGTCCATATCTCTTGCCCACCCACTGTATCATCCAAAAGATTAATCTTCATGAAGAGAATTCACCTGTAAGAAACACACTGCTTCCATCACAACACTTTACTGTTTAAGAAGCTCCAGTGCCTTCCTAGCTCTTCTGTCCAGTACGGACTCTTCCGTCTGGACACCTCAGCTGCGTGTTCTGGACTCACTTGCCTATGAACCTTCATGCCGCTCCCCAGCACACTGTTTTCTAGCAGCAGTAATCAGGTGTATTTTTCTTCAGTAGTCAGAGAAGATTCTAAGACATCTGCGCAATAAAGCTGCTTTGTTCCCTTTCCCTTAAGAGAGGTTGGCGTTCCAGACAGAATGACAAGAACTTTAAAATGAAATGTGTTTCATATGTGAATATCATGTGTTATGTGGGTCATGCAGAAAAATTTTGAACTCCTGGCATGACCTTTGAATCTTTTGTTTCCAGTTAAGCCCCAATCCTATTTACTTGTCCACCCACTTAATCCAGTCTGATCATTTTCTCCCATATGCCTGAGTTCCACTCCCTCTTCCTCCTTTTCCTCCTCCTTCTTTTTCAGAATGTTCTCATTCAGCCTCTTAACCCCTCCTAACTCTTCTCATCTTGCTGGTATCCCCTCAAATCTTAACCCCCTGAAACCCCAATCCCATCTGAGACTGACCATCAGATAGTTGTAGTGCAAAGAGCATAAGATTTAGAGGTGGGGAGAGAGATCTGGGTTCAAGGTCCAGGTCTCTTGTTGATTAGGTACAGAACTTGGATAGAAGAGTATTTCTCAGTCTTTGTTTTCTCGTCACTGAATTGGGGCCAATCATACCAACCTCAGGGGGGCGTGGTCGTGGCTGGGTGGCATAACACATACAAAGTGCATGAAGTGAGCTCCTCTGTTCCCAGCTCTCCAGCGCATCATGGTTAGAGTGAACCTACCAGTTCAGCATGCAGCTGATTGTTCATTATTAGTGAATATTGATATTGGAATCTAAAAAAGAAAAATAGATAAGCAAGTACAGAAGTGTATTCTAAGAAGAATGAGAACCATAATTTTAGAAGGGAAAATGAATGTGATGGAACAAAATGAACTGAGTTGCTTAACTAGAGAAGAAAGGAAAGGAAAGACAATCATCAAAATCACAAATGAGTCAAAGTCTAAAAGAACCAGAACACGGAATCCCCAAGAATGTTAGTGAGTGAGCACCACACGAAGTCAAGGGGACAACAAGGAGTGTGAAGGATTCCCAGGTGTTTGGCAACCACTAGTAAAGAGAATAGTAAACTCTAGAAGGCTGTAGAACAGATGATGAGGATAACTGTTAGATACACAGATTTTCCTCAGGTCTGTGACCCTAGAATTCATGTAGAATGGATCTGAGGTGGAAAAGAGGGAACAATTTGGATTTCGAGGTCACAGTAAGAAGTGTATGGGGAAGATCAGGAAGGTGGTGTCAGACAAGTTAAATTTACAGTTTCAGATCTTGAGAATATAGCAGCTTCAAGTAATAATGGTGCCATAACTGTGGATGAATAAAGGTTTATGTATATGAAAATGTTTCCGGCAACCTGTGGGTCTGCAGCTCAGCACACTGGAAGGGTGCTCAATACGAATACTCAAGCCATTTGGGATTTTAACTCTGAGAATAGAAATGATCTACCATGATCTCTGATACTTTATCATTTTAATTTCAACTTTAAAATTTTTTCATGCTTTTCTTAATTCTTCCTTATACTTACGTAAATTCTTTAGGACACTTCAAAAAGTCTTGGAGGAAACTGAAGGTATTTGGTATCTTTAAAACATTAAGTGGTTTCTACTTTGTAGGGAAAATAGCAAATTTATTTATTTATTTACTTATTTATTTATAATTTATTTTTGGCTGTGTCGGGTCTTAGTTGCGTCATGCTGGATCTTTGTTGAGGCACGCGGGATCTTTCGTTGAGGCGCAGGCTCTTTTGTTGCAGCACACAGGTTTCTCTCTAGTTGTGGTGTGCGGGTTTTCTCTCTCTAGTTGTGGCACGCAGGCTCCAGGGCTCCTGGGCTCTGTAGTTGTGGTGTGGGTTTCAGAGTGTGTGCGCTCTGTAGTTTGCAGCACACAGGCTCTCTAGTTGAAGCACACGAGCTCAATAGTTGTGGTGCGCAGGCTTAGTTGCCCCACAGAATGTGGGATCTTAGTTCCCTGACCAGGGATCGAACCCGCGTCCCCTGCATCAGAAGGTGGATTCTTTACCACTGGACCACTAGGGAAGTGCCAGGGAGATAGCAAATTTAGATGCGAAAATATTATTCAGTATTTAGGAATAATGATTTATTTTTTAAATCTATGAACACATAACGTTTTAAGCAGTATGTTGAAATAGATCTACTAAATGCTTCAAGCAGGTTTCTCCTTCAGTTGATCAGTTAATCATGCAATTAAAGAAGATGAAGATTCTTGATATTAATTAATGCATAACACAAGCTTCCAACAACTCCTTGTTTTCCCGGCATAGTGGACAGGAATGTATAGCAACGCTGGGAGAGAGGTTGTTTGCATCAGCACAGGTCCAATTTAATAATAAGTTTTTATGAGCTTTGGCATTTGTAAGTAGGGAGAAATTAGTAAAAGTAGGGCTAATGGCAGCAACTTAAAAGGTTTGTAAGTCAATGGAAGAATGATCAAGCACCTTTGAGGAGCTGACTGATTTGATGTCACCTTCTTCTCATGCCGTGATTCTCAAGTGACTATGAGTTTTCCTCTCTAACTTGTTTTTTCCCTAAGACAGATTGCCTGCATGCCGCATCTAAATGTTCTGTCTATTCTTTGCTCTAGTTCCTTGGCATCATGTTTAGTCTTAGCTCTGTGAAGGAGCTGGTCGCTGAACATTCATCATAGAGATAAATGCATTTGGTTAAGGGAAACTTTGTTTTTGAGTGGAGTATCTGCTTCGGGCGTAAAGATATCTCAGTGTTATTTCTGTAGTCTTCAAATAAGTAGCCAAGCCATAAGTGGAAGAAAAAATACACACTTTCAAATATATCTTAAATCATAGCAAGGGAATGCTGTAGTATGCCTAATGTTTAATAAACACCTAGTTTATTTTTAGCCAATAAATATTTTGAGATAAATCACTAACTTTACATAGCATTTCATAATGTTTTAATGGGCATTTCATGATCTCAAATCAATTTTGTTTCTCATATGTTAATTACTGTGGTTTATAATTTGATGCCTTCTTGTTTCGGAAAATTATTTTGAACAAAATTACATGTGTGATCTGCTCTCAATACATTTTTTTTTTACTATTATGCCTGAATTAAATAGGAACTGCTGTTTCTTTTCTACTCAAAGAAAAATATATCAATCATTTAAGCTTAAATAATGAAATATCTTTTTAAAAACTTTCTTAAGGAAATGCCATCAATTACAGTGTTGGGAATATCACTACATCAAATCAATCTTTCTCCGTTTATTCTTTTTAATGACTTGGGAAGGAGGGAATTATACTGGCTGGAAGGGTTGGGGTATAGAACAGATGTCACATTTCTCACCTTTGTCTTTCAGATGGAACCCCTCTGAGCTGGTGGGTTGGAAGAACCAATGAAACACAAACTTACTGGGGAGGTTCTTTACCTGATCCTCAAAAATGTACTTGTGGATTAGAGGGGACCTGCATCGATTCTCAGTATTACTGCAACTGCGATGCTGACCGGAATGAATGGTGATTTCCATATGATTTCCTTATGCAAAATCAAGTTTATTATTCTTTTAAATGAGTCACTCAAAACACATATAAGTAGGCAGATACTAAACAAGGTAGTACAGTGAAGAAATTAAAGGTACGTTTTGATGAAATGTATTACAATCTGAATTCTAAATGGTAAGATCACTATCTTTTTATTTGAATTTTTTGGTAATGGATCATGAGTCATACACCTTTTATTTCTGTAATATGATGAAGCAGAGGCATCTGTTTCATGTCTGCTTTTCATTTTAATTCAATTATCATTCTCTTTAAAATTAAGTATAATAAAGAATTGTATTATTCTCAAAATATATTTACAGCCTTTAATTACTAACACATCTCTTCAATAATCTGCCTATAAAACCTCTAAATATATAAACTTAGAATTTCCCACAATTATTTAAACATGTAGCTCTTTTATTTTCTTAAAGGATACACTATGCTATGAAAAACTAATATTCCATTTATCATATTTTGAAAAAGGAAATCTATAATATTTAGGGATTTGAAAATCGAGCTTGAAATATTCCATTTATTCATTTGACATTCCATTTATTCATTTGTCAAACATCAAAAACCAGATTATTTTAGAATACCCTAAAGGAGGCCTCTATATGGAGTCATTGATTATACTCTTATTGTTATATGTTCAGTATGAAGAATATTGTCTCTCTTACTCAAGATTTTTCAAAATTTCTACTCCTTTGGGAGATACTTTTTTTTTTCTCGCTGCCTTCACAGAAAATGCCCACACAGTAATAATGTATTTTGAAATGTGAATAAAAAAATTTTAAACTAATCTAATCACCAATAACTCTCCAATGTCTGCATGACATTTTGTTCATCAAAAATAATTTTTAAAAATAAGACTTTGAAATTTTTCATACTAAATTCTGCTTATGCTTAAGTAGCTTGCATAGAACTAACCTAACCCCAGATAACATTTGTAATCCCAGGAAAACTATTTATTAAAAACACCTACTTGTAGCAAGTGGAGAATAACCAAAGGTAGGCAGAAACTACCAGGGTTGGGAGCCTTCAAACCTTAAAAGAAGGGAACTTAAGTGGGTGAGATTTATGTTTATGTGCCTTTTCCTTGAGGCTACTCACCAGACCACCTACCATGGAGTGGCTAGAACTCAAAGAGAATACTAGATTTTTTTTGGCGGCGGGTATCAGAGGAAAGTTCAGAGCAGCCAGAATGACTAGAAATTGATTTCTGGACATGTCAGAAAGGAGAAAACCACTTGAGGGGAGACCACTATGTCAACTCCTCTCAGACCCCTGACCCTTGAGCTGCACATGCACGGGGGAGATTTCTAGGAACCAAGCAGAGAGATGCAGCTGGGAAACTGAACAAGCCACACAGGAATTTCAGCAGCAACCACCAGAGGAGAGACAGAATTTAGAGCTTAAGTCTCATTAATTGAGATGGGCTTTGTAAAGCCCTCAGCTTTCCATAGAAATGACAGAAGGTCCACTGCCTTTACAGCAAAGACGATGTCCGAGAACTGAGTATGATTGAAAACTACAAGTGAAACTGACACAGGCCCACCCTGATGAAGTAAAACCTCCATTATTGTGATAAGGTTGTGATTTAACTGCTTGTGAAAACAAAAGAAGTCTTCAGAGAATGACAGCAGAATCCAGAGTCTCTACAATGTATCACCCATAATATCCAGAATATTATAACAATTATTGCTTATTCCAAAAGAGAGTAGACTTTGATCCAAAGTCAAGAAAATAAAAGTGCCATTAGGAACAGGCCCTGGGACACAGGTGTTTGATCAGCAGGCAAAAACTTTAAAGCAACTGTTAAAAAACGTATGAAGAATTGAAGGTAAAAATAATCACAAGTGAACAAAGGGTATTCTAAGCAGATAAATGAGAACTTTATTAAAGAAGCAAATGTAGGGACTTCTCTTGTGGTGCAGTGGTTAAGAACCTGCCTGCCAACGCAGGGGACATGGGTTCGATCCCTGGTCTGGGAAGATCCCTCGTGCCACAGAGCTCCTGAGCCCGCACACCACAACTACTGAAGCCCGTGCGCTCTAAGGCTGTGTGCCACACGTACTGAGCCCGTGTGCTGCAACCACTGAAGCCCATGTACCTAGAGCCCATGCTCCACAACAAGTGAAGTCACCACAGTGAGAAGCCCGCGCACTGCAACGGAGAGTAGCCCCTACTCACTGCAACTAGAGAAAGTCCGCACACAGCAACAAAGACCCAACGCTGCCAAAAAAAGAAGACAAGAAAAGAAAAAACGAAGCAAATGTAGATTTTAGAACAGAAAAGTACAACATCATCAGAAGTAAAATATTCACTGGATAGACTTCAACTCTTATGGGAAATAGCAAAAGGAATCTTCAGTAAACCTGAAGATACGTAAGTAGAAATTCAGTCTGAAGAACACAGGAAAAAAAAAAGATTGAAAGAAACATTGACAGACCCTTTGTGGCTTGTGGGAAAATATCAATGATTTAACAGGCAAGAAATTGGAGTCCCAGAAGGGCAGGAAATAAAATGAGGCCATATATATATATATATATATATATATATATATATATATATATATATATATATATTTGATGAAACTATGGCTGAAAATTTCTCAGATTTGCTTAATAAATATCTCTGGAAGCAAGCCCCCAAGATGGCCCCCGATTTTCCACACTGCCTGTTCACACCATTGTGTAATTTCCTTCTCTTGTATGTCGCATGGACCTCGTGACTTGCTTTTAAGAACAGAATATGGCAAAGGTGATGAGATCACTTCAGAGGTTGGGTTACAGAAGACTGTGACTTCTGACTTGCTCAAAATTCTCTGCGTCTTCTAGCCTTCTTGTCTCGATATAGCAATCTGCCATGTCGTGAGCTCTCGTGGACAAAGAATTGAGGGTAGCCTTCAACCAACAGCCAGTGAATAACTGAGGCTGTCAGTCCAACAGCCAGCAAGGAGTAGAGTACTGCCAGCAGCCACAGGGTGAGCTTGGAAACAGAGCCTTCCCCACTCAAGTACTGAGCTGATTGCAGTCCTTGCCAACACTTTGAGTATAGTCTTTCTTTGGGAGAGACCCTGAGACAGAGGATCATAAATCAGAAGAATCATAGACCGTAAAACGTCGTGTTTTAAGTCACTGCGTTTTGGGATAATTTGTTATGCCATAGTAGATAACTAGTACAACTTCAGTGTATGGATTCCAGAAACTCAGAAGATCTCAAGCAGAATAAAAACCAGAGAAACACACACCTGGGTTTGTTGTTCTCGTTGCCAAAAACCAATGATAAAGATGAATGTTTTCAAAGTAGCCAGTTTGGGTGAATCTGGTAGAAGACATTCCATACAGGGGAATAAGGATACAAATGAAGGCTGACCTCTCATCAGAAGCGCAGGTCAGAAGACAATGGAATGATACCTTTAGTGTGCTGGAAGAGGAAGCACTGTCAACCCAGAATTCTCTACAGGACGAAAATACATTTCACAAATGAAAGTAAAATAAATTCCTGTTCAGATTAAACAAATGCTGAGAGAATCTGTTGTCAACACAACTGTACCGTAAGAAATACTGATGGAAATTCTTCAGGTTAAACAGAACTAACACCGGATTAAAACACAGATCTTCAGGAAGGAATGAGGGGCACTGGAAATCATGGATATGTCAGTAAATGTAAAAGCCAGTGTTTAAATTTTTCTCTTGATTAGGTAAATTAAATTATAAAGTTTATAACATCTGGATTTAAAATATATTATTACAACCGTAGCACAAAGAACAGGTGTTTATGTAGGGAAGGATGTTAAAAATTATCCAATGGTAGGCTTCTGACATTTTATATTAAGTAATACAACATAAAATATAAGTAGACTGTGATGGATTAAGGATGCGTCTTATAATCTATGAAGAAAATATTAAAATACAATAAACAGTCATATAGCTAAAGGGTGAGTAAAAAAGTAAAATCGAATGCAAAACAATATGAAGTAAGCCAAGAGGAGGCATGAAAGGCGGAGCAAAAATACAAGATATCCTGTGGGAAAAAAATAAGAAACAAATACCAACACGGTAGATCTGGAAACACACTACCAATTATTACACTAAATGGCAGTGGATTAACCATCTCATTTAAAAGGTAGAAAACGGCCAACAGAGTTTAAAAATCACCAACTGTATTCTGTCTGCAAAGGACACTAAAGTGTTGCCATATTTTTCCATTCTCAGATGAGTAATTTGATCCTGACTCTTCTGTGTGTGCAAATTTAGCTCAGAACATCTTGGCTTTGAAATGCAATAAGGACTATTGTTTACTTTATAATTATGTTCATCAGAATAATTTTAAGAATCTTGCTGTTGTTACTGTTTTTTAGGACCAATGACACTGGATTCCTTTCTTATAAAGAACATCTGCCAGTAACTAAGATTGTGATCACAGACACCGGTCGACCACATTCAGCAGCAGCCTATAAACTAGGGCCTCTGCTCTGCCGGGGAGACAGTAAGTGGTGGCGACGTGCCATAAACATGTCTGAGGAAAGTGATGTCACTTAAGAACCATGTTTCTATCTTATAATAATTAATCAGACTTCTCTTGTGAAAACTCATAAGCAGTGTCTGAAATCATTCCTATAGTCAATCAACAAAGCGCCCCTTATAGAATGCAAAGCCCAGGAATAAGCGCTGTTACAGCAAACCTTGTTACGAGTCCAAGAGAAAGAAACCACAAAGCATTTCTATTTGATTGGTTCATAAACTCACTCCATCATTCCTAAATGTCTGCATGCCATTGTCTATAAAGGAAGGCCTCAGTGCTACATAAAATTATCAAGTATGTATGGTGAGTTTTATACTGTTGGGCCTGGGGTGAAATTAGAACATCAGTAGAATCAATTGTTAGTTTAATCAAACACATTTCAACTTTTAATCTCATTTTTTTTCCCAGTTTGTGTGTGTGTGTTTTTAGTCTAAATCAGTGGTACCTGCTGTTTTGTATATTCAATGTATTAACACTCTAAACCGGAATTTTTTAGTTAAAATATAGTTTCATAGAAAATACATATTTTCAGCAGGGAATGAAATTAGCATACGTATCCATTTATAACCTCTCTGAAGTCAGCTAGGTTAGAGACTGATGCGTCAATCATTTTTGCTTTTAGTTATTTCCAGAACTTAAAATGCAAATAGAAGAAATATTTATTTACCTTAAAAGTATATCCTAGGGCTTCCCTGGTGGCGCAGTGGTTGAGAGTCCGCCTGCCGATGCAGGGGACGCGGGTTCGTGCCCCGGTCCGGGAAGATCCCACATGCCGCGGAGCAGCTGGGCCCGTGAGCCATGGCCGCTGGGCCTGCGCGTCCGGAGCCTGTGCTCCGCAACGGGAGAGGCCACAACAGTGAGAGGCCCGCGTGCCGCAAAAAAAAAAGAAAAAAAAAAAAGCGGTCTGCCATTATACCTACCATCCCTAATCTTTATCACCTCTACTTCCTGTTCTGCCAGTAGGCCTTAAACAGCCACTTAAAGATGACATAGGGTATTTCGTGCAGAGAAAAGTTATGTGCAAAGAGATGAGATTGTAAACGCAGGATGCATCCTGAGGAATGCGATGATTTTGCGTGACTATAGAGAAATTGTTCTGTACATCACATGCACTCTTCACTGCTGGCTCTGATCTTAACCCTTCAGGGGCTCAGGCCGGCTTCCTCCATTTGCCACCATCCCTGGGGAATTGTTCTGCTTTGACTGAGGTCACTCCCAACTCTGTCCCTTAGGGGTTCTTTCTTTCAGACTTCCTGTCATGAACTTAAGCACACAGCATCTTTTCCCTTAGGGCAGTGACTCTCCATCCAAGGCGATTTTGCTCCCTCAGGGGACATTTGGCAATATCTGGAGACGGTTTTGGCTGTCACAACTGTGAGGGGTTTTATGCTACTGGCATCTAAAGGGAGACGCCAGAAATGCTGTAAATATCCTACAGTGCACAAGACAGCCCTCCACCACAAAGACTTATCTTGTCCAAAAGGCCCATAGTCTTAAGGTTGAGAAACTAGAGCGTTAAACTTTTGTGACCACGGGGATGCAGAAGGAGGCTGGCAATATCAGGAATGAGGATTTACAAATACTGTAAGGATTTAGAGACCTGCTGATTAACATCTGACTTATTAATGAAACAATCACTGAGAGCTTTCCTTGGCCTTCTTGTCCCCCATATCTACTTTAGCGTTGAGGCTCATCGCCACATAAGGTCATAGAGCATTTTCTGCATAAAGGGCCCTTTTTAAAAACTTTCTCAGTCTGAAGCATGATGATGGCAGAGTAATGAATGCCCCCGTTTTCTCTGTATGGGTAGACTGTATCTCTGAGGGTGCAATGCCCTAGACACAGTTTTTTTCCTTTCCAAGTGAGATACACTGGGCAGATGTAGGGCTTCTAGATATGGGATCATGCACAGTGGGCCTTATAAGCAGAGGAAAGATATGTGGATGTTATCCTGAAGGCATTAGGACTGGAACACTAGTTAGGCCTGGGATAATTTAAGACTTAGCTTAATTCTTGTGATCCAACTGAAAGCATGGAAATCAGTTACAAACCTAAAGACAGGCAGGTGACCTTTGAAGTAAGACAAGGAAAATGATGAAGGCTTGAACTAGGCAATAGTTGTCATGGGGCTTAAATAAGGGGCTCAAGTAGGGAGGTAAGTTCAGTATGCTTTGGACGGGAGTGAGGGTGAAAAGCTGTGAGGACGATCTCCAGCCTCCTGACTTGAGTAAAGCAGGCAGCACCGTTTGTTGAGACAATAAGAATGCTAGTACCCTTCATTGAGACACAGAATTTTTAGATTTTCTTTGAACAGAAAAATGGAAAGATGAAAATAAAAAAATAATATTTTGGATTTATCACACAAACCAGAGATGTTGAAAATTTCATATCTAGCCATGTTTTTCTAGGAAAGAAGACAGAAGCCTTGAGAAAGCAGGACAAATAAACAAAAATGAGTGAGCCCTACAGGTACCAGATATGAACTTGCTCCTAACTCCAAGTCTTTCTTTTCATTGTTTTAAATGTAGATGGGTATAAAATTTTGTGTTACTACTGCTATTATTGCTTAATGTCAGAAGTCATAGATAATATCGTTAGGTGTTTTACCAAAAGCACAAAAGATATGAATGATAAAGTCCCCTTTAAAGTTGTGCTGCAGATATAAAACTTAGTAACTATTGTTGACCTTAAAGAATTTCTTTATTTATGAATATGGAAATACATTTTTGGAAAAATATGTGAAAAGTAAACGGCAGAATTCAACATCCTACTTATGATAAAAACTAAGCAAACTACGAACTTAAAAAAACTTTCTCAGTGTTTCAAAAGGCATCTGTGAAAATCTGAAAATATGACTATCCTGAATAGTCACAGACTTAATGCTTCCTTTCTAAAATCAGGATCAAGACAAGGATCTGTTCTCACCTCTCCCATTCAATATCATGCTGTTGGTCCTAGCACATGTAGTATGTCAAGAAAAGGAATTCGAGTCATACAGATCAGAAAGGAAGAAATAAAATGTCTCTATTTGCTAAAGACATGGTTTTCTAGGTAGAAAATTCTTAAGAATTTATAAAAAAATAAGTGAGTTTAGCAAGATTCCAGGATGCAAGGTCAATATGCAAAAAATAAATTATATCTCTATATGCTAATAATGAAAAACTTTAAATTGAAATTTTAAAAGTACCTTTTAGAGCAGCACCAAAAAAAATGAAATAATTTGGTATAAACATAACAAAAATACATAACATTTATGAGAAATAATTAAAGAACTAAATAAAAATGTAATACTCATAGACTGAAAGATTTGATTTTGTTAAGATGTCAGTTTTCCCCAAATTGATGTACAGATTGAATACACTCTCAATCAAAATCCAGCAGGCATTTTTTTTCTTTTCGCAGAAATAGGCAAGCTTATTCTAAAATGTATAGGGGGAAGCAAAGAAACTAGATTGGCTAAAACATTTTGAATAATAAAAACAAAATTGGAGACAGCTCTCTGATTTTAAGGCTTGTTGCAAAACTACACAATTCAAATCAGTATACATTGATATCGAGATAGACAGATCAGTTAATGGAGTAGAATAGGTATATGTACACACACACGTACATATGCACATAAGGCAACTCAAGGGGGAAAGAATAGTCCTCTTCAAGAAACAGTGCTGGAACAATTAGAATCCATTTGCAAAAACAAAAACAATAAAAGAATGTCATCCCATACTTCAAACTGCATATAAAAATTAACTCAATCACAAACTTAAATGTATACCCACAAACTATAAAACTTCTCTAAGGAAATATAGAAGAAAATCATAATGACCTTGGGTTAGGCACAGATTTCTTAGATGCAGCATCGATAACATGATCCATAAGTTTTTTTAATGATAAGTTGGGTTTCCCCAAAATTAAAAACTGCTTTTGAAATGACATTGGGATTGAGATTGGTATTGACATATACACACTACTATATATAAAATAGATAACTAATAAGAACCTACTGTGTAGCACAAGGAACTCTACTCAATATTCTGTAATGACCTACATGGGAAACGAATCTAAAAAAGAGTGGATATATGCATATGTATAACTGATTCACTTTGCGACACAGCAGAAACTAACACAACATTGTAAATCAACTATACTCCAATATAACTTAATTTTTTAAAAATGGAAAGAAGAACCACACATGGGGAGAAAAGATTTGCAAGGCGCATATCTGATAAAGGCTAGTATCCAGGATATGTGAAGAACTTTCTAACAGTGCAATTAAAGAAAAATTCAGATTAACAAATGGGCAAAAGATTTGCACATACATTTTGTCAGATAAAATATACAGATTCCAAATAAACACATAAAAAGGTTTTCAGCATCATTAGTCATTAGGGAAATGTACAATAATACCACAAGGAGATACCAATACATAACTATTAGAATGGCTGAAATTGTAAAAGAATAATAAAACAAAGAAACTGACTGGTAAAGATTTTAGTCACATGGGTATTCTCCAGGATACTCCTAGGATCTTACTGAGTATGTTTCTGACTTCTACTAACTTTAGAGACAAAGGGTCAACGGAAAGATCACGGGAAAACATCTGGGTTTACAGTTAATAGAAAGATTGTAACTAGGAGGGCTCGTACATATATTTTCCTTTCTGCTCACTCTCCTGGGAGCAGTGGGACCATCTTCATTTTTGAGGTGCCATCAGAAGTCTTCTAGACCAGGGGTCCCCAACTCCCAGGACGCGGACTGATACTGGTCCGCGGCCTGTTAGGAACCGGGCTGCACAGCAGGAGGTGAGCGGCAGGCGCGCGATTGAAGCTTCATCTGCTGCTCCCCATCGCTCCCCATCCCTGCATTGCCGCCTGAACCGTCCCTCCCCACCACCGCCCATCCGTGGAAGAATTGTCTTCCACGAAACCGGTCCCTGGTGCCAAAAAGGTTGGGGAGCGCTGCTCTAG